ATCACGGGTGAGGATGACAAAACAAAAAGGGGAAAGAAAGAAAAACTGCCGTCTCAAGTTGTTGCACAGCGGATAGCCTCCTGCTCAACAAAGTTGTCTGAGATTGCATCATGGGAAGCGAAGGCAAAGGACTCTTCTTTGCTGTGTCTCAACTGTGTGAAACACAACTTTCTTGGATAGGATTTTCTCGTGTGATGTTACTTTAATATTAATATGTACATTTGCACATATATCTAGTATATATATATATATGTGAATCTGCATGTTAGCTATGCATATGGTGGGAATGTGGATAAATATATTTATATATATATATGGCAATATATACGATCCTCAGGTCGGATACCATGAAGACCAGTCTGGCCGAGCAACTTCTGGCACGAAAGACAGAGATTGCCACTGCCAGAGATGAGTTGGAAAGTGTGTTTTCCACGCCCAAGCTTGATACCAGTGTCAAAGACAACTCTGAGCATAAACAACGTTATGATGCAGCCATCCGAAAGTGTGACACAGCCTACACAAGTCTTGCCGGCACCATGCGCTCCATCAAAGCGGCAATTGAACCTAAGATTAATATGATGTTTAGGCACCTACCAATGCAAAAAAAAGGCAGCATACTGGTTTTCATTGGTAATTTTCATGAACGCTTGGACCTCATCCCATATACCCAGAACGGCCCAGGAACCACCGGTGAAGCGGCCTGCAAAAAAGAAGAATGGTCAAGCAGATTCAGCGGTGCCACCAGCTCTGCCAGCTGCGTGATCCTGCTGGTGGAGTTTGAGCGACCGGAGAAGGGCGCACAATTGTTTTGTGCACTTGGACCTTCAACATGTGGATCCGTAAGATGGAGAAAAATGGGCACTGCTATTTTGCAATTGGTTCCTTCCGGTGGGTGCCTGCTAAACTATATTTGTATATACCAGTGTGTTGGCTGTCCCCTCGCAGGTGCTGCTGCATCCTCGAGCCCATCTCCACTGGTGAGTTTCCTCATGAGGGAGAGTGGCATGGGAGAACCTAGCCTCGCAAGTGCTATACTTAGATTTATTTATGGTGATGGTGTTGCAATGTTTGGCGCACGTTGGTGTTGAGGACAGCTCCTTCAAAAAAGCGCAGGAAACATTACATTACGTTCGAAAGGAGAGAGTGTATTGATTTCATGTCTTTTGATTCATGTGTGTAAAAGACACAGAACTAGGATGTCATCTCTGCAGGAGTTTGAGCACCAGGGGTTCAAATTTGGTGGAGAAGCTTCAGTCATGGGATTGGCTGGGACCAATGGCAAGCACCCACAGAATATCAAGAGAGATATGCTCCGGAGGGTAGACGCTCAAGAACCCGACACAGTCCCTTGTTTTGGATGAGCTTTCAACTAAAGGTTGCGTTGTTTGTCGACCAAGAATAGCTACACAAAGAAAAATCAACCAACCAAGGTTCCTATCAGTTGGATTGATGTCCCAATGAAAGCGGATTTGGCACCTGGTGCAGCTGTGGAGACTAGGCCTGGTGATGCTACATGGTGATGGAACAGGTCATTCTTGAAAACTTGGCTTGCAGGTCTATGCCAGTGATCCTCCCTCATGAGCTGATACCGTGGCTTCTTCGACATGGGTTGCACCCTACAATCCCTGACCATTCAACCATTGAGTATTGGAATCACATTGGTGAGCCTGAGCATTCTGATGCAAACCCTCTTTGGATTTGGGGTGATGGTAGCCAGTACTTGGAAAGTGGGGAGAGCATCACTGTGGTTTGCTTTGGGATGGTGCTGCAAAGACAACTGGAGAAAACCACAGTCAAGCGCTGCTTTCCCATCTTCCTTTACCGAGAAGAAGCTACCCAATTATTTCAATACGCATATTTGGGCTAGGCTATATGCATTCTTTTTTTAAAGAGGTAGTCACGGAGTCTTTGAGCATAATTAAAACCTTTCCTTGCACATGGTTTGCCAAGGAACTGGATGCTGGTTTCCAAACAATTCAGGCCTACTTGGCTGCCGAACCTTAGCAGATATATATCCGGATATCTCAGGACTTCAAAAACCTCCAAAAACCATCCCAACCAAACACCAGTGGTCTGTAATTACACTGTTCCTTGCACTGGTTCTCACTTGCCATTGCATAGTTCTAGTAATTCTGGATTGACATGTAGCTCTGAAGCTACCGAGGTCTGTGAGAGTTTCAATCAACTTTATGATGGGATTGATGTCCAGATACCTGGCGTGGCGGGGGCTTTGAGGTACAAGGCCATTGTCCAGCAGATCAGAGCTGATTGGAAATTTCAACAAGATGCTTGATAACAATTCAAACCCATAGCTGAAGGGCCCCACCAAGTGGCAATCTCCCTATGTTCATGGAGTTATATAGCATTGCATGTTGGAAAACACCTAGCTGTTCCGGGAAGAACTTAAGGAATGGCTCCGTCTCTCAAGATATTACAAGTGCAACTGGGTGTGCCATTGCTGCGATGCCCACAAGCAAGATTACATGGTGGACAGCCCCTACATGCTGCAAAGCAAAACCCGGATTGACTGGGACTCCTTCCTGCGAACATGCATAAAGCCTGGGGCAAGGAGAGCCTTAACTCATGATAGCTGGTACATTTTGGGTTGTATGCTAGGGTTAGGTGTTCGGGCTCAGCCACAAAGACAGCCCGACCTAAATATCTGAGGCCCTTTGCTGGACCTTCGAGGTATGCAGGTTAGCAAAATCCGCTGGGATGCGATGCACGCTTGTAACTTGGGAGTTGATTTGTGGATCAGTGCTTCAACCCTAAGAGGGCTTTTGGACTATGAACATCTTTGGGGCGGTGCTGATATGCATGATGATGATCGACTGATGCTAGCTTACAAAGACTTCCGGCAGTGGTCAAGAGACCATAAGTGGCAGCGCTTTGGCTACAGCCTTGACTTATCTTGACGTGCAATTTTTTGGGTGGGAAGACTTTGCATAGCTAGCCTTGCATATATGTATGTACGGGTTTTGTGGAGTGCCTTCCGCGATCTAAGACAGAGCATGCCAAAGTTCAGTTCAAAGAAGTTGACCAGCTATCTCCATCCGTACCCTGAGCTTCAATCCAAAGCTTGGAACGTTTCCTGTCATCACTAGTGAAACTACCTGTACGGTGCATGTGGTGTGGTGGAAGGGACCTGGGGTGATGGTGGCCCTTGTGTGAGGCTCGTGTGGTGATCCAATGGCTTGATGCAGTTTTGGCTGCAGATCCTGTTGATGAGCATTGGCTGCTCATGCAGCAGTGTGTGTATCTTGGCATTGGTATTGGTCTTCAAATCTTATTAACAGGGTTCAGTTCCAGGCCACCTCAATGGTGTCCAACTTCTTGACAACTTCTCACTTTCTTCTTTCATTGAGGTCGAGGATCATGTTGCAGGCCGCCTCAACTTTTCCACATGTTCAGTCCTATGGAATTTTGGAATGGCTTTGTCTCTCCAGGGTCGGCGGATTCAAGGGCTACTTGGTTGTATCTTCCAAGTAGTTCACCAACTTGAACAGCATGTGTATAGCTTGTCGGGTGGAGTCTGGCCGCAGCGTTTCCTGTATTTCTGCGTCATCCTTTTGCCCTGGCGTTGGGTGCCTGCCCAGTTGACGTTGACACGGACCCTGTGGCTATGGTGTCACATCACTGCATGCAGCTTTGACGAGTTGTAAGCCTCCGTGCGGTGTCAGTGCTCCTTGCTCTTTGCTCCCCTTCTCCAAGATGACCATGTCCGAAAACTGAGTTTGGGACCCTGCTAGTGTTGGTGGGTACACCAGTACAACCTGACATCACCCCATGGCTTCCCTCCCATACCCCAATGCACAGTCCTGAGGCATGGAGCTGCCTGCTTCCATTCCATCGGTGAAGGGGCAGGGCAGATCCTAAGTGAGGCACAGGCCAAGGACATGGCCAACATGTGTGATGCCTGGATGCATATGGTTGTGAATGTTAAAATGAATGTCCCACCAAGTTGACCTGTGCGACCCACCATGCAAATCGCTCAGCTCATCACTCATTCCCGAAAGTTCAATTGAGCTATGCAGCTATACCCAGGGCAGAGTGTTTAGAGCGTTGAAAACGATGTGCAGTGTTCTGAGGAAGCATCCACCACTGCGTACGTCAAGCTGGCACTGCGTGCTCTTGATGCCGGTCTTTTGAGATGGCCGGCACGCCCGAAGTGGCATGTGCCCTGACTCTCCTCCAAGATAAGGGTCCAGGTTGGTGTCTGACACATGCATGAAACTGTGCAATTGAGGCATGGCATGAGCTGTGCCACCAGCAGCTCACTGATCGATACTTGGTCAACAATCCATACCACACCATCAAAAAGGTAAAAGCACATGATTGCATGATCTACACTTGGATGTCTTAATCGTTTGACGCAGGGCACCCACCCAGCTAAGGATTGAACCACCGATTTGAGCACGGCTTTGCATGTGAAGATTTTGTTGGTAGAATTTCGAAGCTAGCCGGGATCTCTGCCAAAGGCAACATAGAGTCCGCAGCAATAATTAGATGGTATCTTGGTCTTGTGCAAGGCCACCTGTGTGAAAACCTTGCATAGATCACCCTGAATCCCACTCTTGCAGCCCAGAGTCGAGAAGCAAACAGGAGGTGCAGCTTGAGGCGTGAGCCGAAGGTCTCTGCTGGGCTTGGGAAGGGTGTATGTGGCACTGGAAGGGTACCCATAGTGGTGCTCAAATAATCGTGGATTTCTCTAATTTGCCTCCCGGGAAGTTGGGCTCCTAATTGTACTCCCGGTTGTTTTCACGATAACTGTGCTCTCAGAAGCCATTCGGGAGCCCTTGGGCTACTAGGGGCCTTACTACTAGGAGCAAGGACGCATTCCTAGGGTGGAGGCCATCGCT